CTTCTCCTTCATCTTACGGTACGTTTCAAGGTGTCCCTACTCATCCACCAACGTCGCGTCCTCCTCGTCCTCCGTCGCATCATCCGGTCACGGGACTTCCTCATCCGTCTTCGCCTCCCGGAGCAGCTCATAACGATCTTTCAGTTCATCAATACATTCAAGAACATCAAAACGTTCCTGGTTAGTATTCTCTGGTTTCTTCATGGTGACTATAAAAGGTCAATTTCAATCTTGAATCTTCTTTATGATCCAAATGAGTAAACACCAAGTTGCTAGTTTCACTTCAGCTGAATCATATGCACAAAATCAGACCTCTATGGTTAAGTTACTAAGAACTTCTACTTCGTGAATTAGATTAAGCTTCCTGGTAAGAACATGAAGCTCTCTCTGTTCTTACAATAGCTTTCAATGCAACTAAATTGCAGGATATGCTGTTGCAGAAGGAAGACATGTAAGAGAAGAGCGTCTTCCTTGTTGTGGCACTGGAATCGGTTGGTTCTTGTAAGTTTACTTTAGTACCCATATCGAATTTAATCTTCAAACACATTCCCTCTGAAAAATTCTCTGTTTTTTCATCTTCATTAAGGTTCATCATCGGTTTTCTCCTTGGTGCAATCCCATGGTACATAGCTTTATTCCTTCTAGTATGTGCTAAGATCAATCCACAAGAGAAACCAGGATACATAGCTTGCGCAATCGCCGTGAGTCTTTTCACTAAACTAATCGATTAGAGTCGTATATTGCAAGATTACATAAATGAATCTTGTGGTTTTTACTTTCACAGGCTGTTCTTGCTACAATTGCCATAGTTTTTGGTGTTATCAAAGGAGGAGTATGATCGTGAATTGGCCAGAGTAAAGATAATAAACACAACCATTGTTTCCTCGAGTATTATCAGTATGTATATATTCATCAGAGAGCTCTGTTTTTTGGACTTCCATTAAGTCCAATGTATTTGTTGCTATGTTTTCAATAGGATCAAAAGCTTATTTTCCACTTTCAAGAAAATTGAATATTTCATCATGACATTAAACTTCAATCCCAAAACAAAGCTAATTATTTTGAGATCCTCTATAATCTAATCAATCATATCATTATTTAGGAAACAAGAACAAGATTAGATTTTCAACAAATTCTTGGACAATAACTAAGAAGAACAAACACTAATCAAGAACATCTAAAGCTTTTTTCAATCAAGAATCTCATAAACACCGAAAAGTTAACAACTTTATCTGTTCTAGACAGAACAGAATTTAGGGCAGAATCTCAGATTTCAGACATAATAAACATGTAAGAAATCTTTAACAGAGAAACTGCTCCATTACAATGAATCAGATATTGGCCGGGTGAAATTGGGAACTCGCATCAGATTAAAGCAAGAACCCATTTGGATCGGCCGTAGAACAAACAGAACAAGAAAAAAAAAGTCTTCTTTTTTTTGCACAGTGTGTAATCTTTTCTTATGATTTGCAATAATGAAGATTACTTGCAATAGTTAAAAGAGAAAAGATAATTGGGTTTTGATTTATGCCTGCAACGGAACAAGAACAGCATTTCATTTATCGCTGCTATGATCTCTCAAAGGCACTTTGATTAAACCCTAATCACAGCGATGTTTATTTATAACATCAAGAAGAAGAAGAAGCTCCAGGGTTTTGAATTACCGAATTTACCCCTTGACCTAGTACATAACTTTGTTGTATATTGCAAAAATAAACCAAAACTTTGAAAAAAATCTCCAAAAAATAGCTATATTTTCAAATTGTCCATTTAGTTTTCACTTCTCAGGTTCATTGTTGCATGTTCCAAAATGGACAACTATAAACAAAAATTTTGATACACAATGAACAATAACATCGATTTGTTAAAGGGCAGGATCGGTTCGGTTTGATTAGGTATTGCAAAACGCATAAATGATTATGAGCTTATCACCATTACATTGTGAGCAAGGAAACAGAGCAAAACTGCTTATGATCTAATTGAAATGTGAATGATACATTACTCGAATGAGTATGAATATCAGCGCAACAAAATCGCTGGAGTATAATCTCTTGACGCATCTTACTGCAGAAGCAACCGATTCTGCAGAGAAACAATCGGAATGTGTATGTATATGATCGTCATCTCAACGACCCAAAGTATTCTAGTGGCCACACCTAGAAAAAGCAAACAGATAGTTACACGAGAAAATCATTGTCACTGTTTCTTAATTTCATAGCTAGAAATTTGAGTACAAAGAGTTTTACCCGCATAAGTGCTTTTCCTTCGATGAGATTGTAAGGTACAGGTCCAAAATGACGTGAATCCGTTGAAGCATACAAGTTATCTCCCTGAATCCAAACATGACCTTTTGGAACCTATTGAAGAAGCAAACATAAACCTTTAAAATCAGATGCGCTCAAAACCGAGACTAGTCGCATAAGACACGAAATGTATTCATGAATACTATAAGACAGCAAAAACCCTAAATGCTATAAGTACTCTGAAATCGAGTTTAACCGAAACTAATAACCAGCAATGCCTTGACTTCTACACCATCCCAAATTATCAATCATACACACAGATAAACCCTCGACTTTATATTAAACCCTAAATGCTATAACTACTCTGAACTCGACTTCAACCGAAACCAATAGCCAGCAATGCTTCACCTTCTAGCCCATCCCAAATGATCAATACACACTGATAAACCCTAAAACCCCAATAAAGTTTGCAAAATTCCATCTTTCCTTGTTACCACAAACCCTAAACAATATAACTACTCTGAAATCGACTTAAACCGAAACCAGTAGCCAACAATGCTTCACCTTCTAGACCATCCCATATAATCAATCATACAACAGAGAAACCCTAAACATTTACAAATTCCATCTTCTTTTGTTACATTAACCCCTTAAATGCTACAACTACAAACACTCTGAAATCGACTTCAATCGAAACGATTAACCAGCATTGCTTCACCTTCAAGACCATCCCAAATCATCAATCTAATACACACAGATAAACCCTACAAATTTTACAAAATTCCATCTTTTTTTTGTTACCAAAGATTGAACCTTTAAACAGAGAGATTTGCTCAATGTTCATACCACAACACTGATTATTGACCCATCAATGGCCAATGGATCAGAGAAAGTGAGTGTATGTCCTTCTAAACCCAAGATCCGTTTCGTAACCATCCTTGTTGGATCTCTCGGAGATCGAACAATTACAACATCACCGAGACCAATCTTACCAAACCGATGTGATAAGTGTTCTGCCAAAATTACATCTCCTGTGAGATTAAGCGTCGGAAGCATACTAGGACCCTGAACCTAAAAACACACACAAATATTAACCAAATCAGATTTCTTGGAGAAGATTAGAGAAACAAAAATAGAATTCAATTTCGCTAATGTAATATAACAATTTACTTACATGAGTGGAGGATATTATGTAACGATCAGTGACATGAAGCAAACAGAGGAATTTAGCGACTACTGATACTTGTTCAAATGCTTCTTTTGCTGTTCCACGCCATCGTCTCAGATTACTCAACAATCTCATCATCCCTCTCTCTCCGACAAGTGAATTACGTCACAAGAAGCAGAAAAAGGTCGAAGACGGCGAAGTCGGTTGTAAACTCAAAACGGCACGCAGTTGGTTATTCCAAACTCTAAACGGCACCAAGTTTTGACCTTTTACATAGTATTTTGACTTAGTAATGGTCAAAACAGCATGTAGTAGAGTATTGTAAATAGCGAACGGCATCAAGTTTTGACCTTTTATCGTGTTTTTGACTTGTTAATGCTAAAAACAGCGTGTAGTTGAGCTTTGTAAATAGTAAACGGCAGATTTGTTTTTATTAGTTACAAGTTGCAAATCAAAGCTACAAGTGAAACTGTGAAGTTCTGTAATTTGCAGAGCCAATTCGGTTCTTCTTCTTATAAAGATCAAAGCTTAGGATTCATCGCCGGAGATTTTGAACATGGACGGGATTATTATTGCAGCGGTTCCAACTACAATCTGTGTCTCTCTGCGCAGTTCTTGTCGGAATCGAGACATTGCTGGATCCAGACACTATTTTCCTGGAAAATCCCTGAATCCAGTTTCAGTTCAAATTGGGAATTACGTTTCTCCTTCCCCAAAACGCAATTCATTGCTTAGAAAGCGACATTGTGGTGAAATTTCGCGTCGGATCGTAAAATCCGCCGCATCCGCCGCTTCTTCAGGTAAAAGGTTGAATCTTTAAGAACAGAAAACAGAGAAGCTCTTTGTGTTTATTACTTTTAGAGCTTGAAGAAACAGTGTTAGAATAAGCAAGGAATCGTTTTTAGAAAACAACTGAAATGCATTTGTGTTTTAAACACTCTTCATTTTGGTCTGTTTGTTGCTTTGTGTAGTTGGAAATGTAGATGAGTACACTGAAGAACCGGCTACAAGTGAGAAGTTTCAGAGATCAGTGACATTACCGGGTTGTTCTAGTCCGCTTTCGTTGCTTGGAACTGGTTAGTTTTTACCATATCTACACTCTTTAGCTTAAAAAAATCGACGTTTTAATACGGTTCTTTCGGATCTTGTGTAGATGAAATGCTTTTAAACTTGCTTTGAAGACTTCTTTCAAACTTTTTCAGGGTTTAGGGAGAAAAAGTTTGCGATTATCGGTGTCAAAGTCTATGCAGCGGGATTATACGTGAATGAATCTATATTGAGCGGGTTAAGCGCTTGGAAAGGGCGATCTGCTGATGAGATTCAAACAGATTCATCTCTGTTTGGTTCCATTTTCCAAGGTAATGATGATATGCTAAATTGTGATAGATTTCTTCGTCCATGTTTTAATCTCTTGAGTCGTCTTTCTATCATCGATGCAGCTCAAGCAGAGAAATCGTTGCAGATTGTTCTTGTGAGAGATGTTGATGGTAAAACCTTTTGGGATGCATTGGACGAAGCCATTTCGCCAAGAATAAAATCGCCATCTTCTGATGATAAAACCGCTCTCTCTACATTCCGTGAGATTTTTCAAAACAGACCTCTTAACAAAGGAAGTATCATACTCTTGACTTGGATCAACCCTTCTAATATGCTTGTAAGCACAACATTTTCAAGGCTTTTGGCTAATTCAATTGTTACACATAATTGCCTTTTAATCTCTTATTTTGTTGTTAGATTTCTGTCTCGCCGGGCGGATTGCCAACGGATGTGAATGCATCGATCGAGTCAGGTGATGTTACATCGGCTCTATTCGATGTGTTCTTTGGGGATTCACCAGTTTCTCCTACACTGAAATCCTCAGTAGCTAACCAATTAGCTATGATCCTCAAGTAAAGATCATATTGTAATGAGTTATCATGAATCTTGCAATGTGTTAATCTATGTTGTAACAAATTTAATACTTAAAATCTCATGGAAAACTTAGTTAGTTATATAAAAAGCATAGTCACTCTGTTTAGTAGTATCAAAATTTGTTTTATATTGGTAGATGGTGAATCTTAATCTAAACTCAAATGGGTTTTGATTCATAAAAAAATTACATTTAGTCCAAATTAATGAATCAAACTGCCAATTAAAATGGAAGTAAACAAGTAAGAATTAAAGAAAATAAAAAAAAATTGGTCAAGATCATAGTTTCTACAGTGGGAAATAAAATTGATTGTTGAAGACAAAGAGATAATATGGTTTAGGGCCAAGTTGAGCAAATTAGTCATTTTGTTAGTGTGCCCTTGACCACATGCAACTTCCTCTATCAGTGGACCACATTTCACAATATATTTTGATTTATTAGAAGATTCATTTTCTTTCTTTTTTTCATGAACATTATTTATAACTTGTTGACAAAACAAAAAAAAAATAACATTTTTATTATATCTTCTTTTGGACAATGGTAAACAAATTTTTATATAATTGTTTCTTAACTGAAACAAAGAAACAACCAAAATAAATCTTCTTGGTGGAGAGATATATTTTGGTTTCCTTCAGTCAAAACTCTAAAGTAAAAAACATGATTATTTATATGGAAAAGCAAGATTCATGTGGTGAATGGTGATTATGTCTCTTCTTATGTTGAATTATGACTCATGCACTTTCTTTTTCTTACCTTTAATTAATTATTTATATATTAAATATTTCATATTTTCAATTCAGAATAATTAGTAAATGAATCAATTGAGATAGTTGTTTCTATTTGGAAAAAAGTTATTCGGGTTTATATGAGAGTTTAATTCTCTTCAAATGTGAAATTATCTAACAATTATAATTTGGTCAGTCGAAATGGTGTCACGTTTTACGTTCATTAGAAAATTTGGTGAATGAACTATTTAGCGGATACACTGATAGAAAGATTAATACGCGGGTGGCCCTGATTCTCAAAAACGAGTAGTAGGGTGGTTACAATTTAATAAGTAACGTGTGATTCATGCTCGTAATAGTATAGGCCTAGGGCCAGCATTAATCAGACTAATCTTAGGCAGA